TACCTACATATATAAGCCGATCAGTCTATCTATATTTTAGCTACATATATATGCTGATCAGTCTATCTATATTCTAGCTACATATGTAAGCTGATCAGTCTATCTATATTCTAGCTACATATATAAGATGATCAGTCTGTCTATATTCTAGCTACCTTTATAAGCTGACCAGTCTGTCTATATTTTCTTAAACTTAGAAATGTTGTTAACTGTGTTATAAACGACCCTAATCGACAAGTGTATAATTGCACACATTGACACGGTCACGTATACAGGTTAACAGAGCCATTTTGTACCTGGACCGTAGTTTTCCGCACCCGGGACACTTACGTAACTCGCCAATGTGTGAAAATCCAGGTGAAGGGGAGCTAAAGGCCAAAACGAACGCAAATAACAAATAAGTGCAGTTGTGTTTTCACAACGGCCATACGGTAACACATGCCAATTCTCTTTGTCAGGCCAAGTAAAACTCCGGTCAGTCATCAAACAGTTGTTTACCTGTTCGTGCCCCGGTGAATAAATTATAGATATTGCCATTCAAAAGAATACGGCTCCTTTTGGCCTTTTTTTTTTTTGTTCACCGATCCATGAAAAGTCGAATTTAGTTGAATGTTCAACTCACTGCTGATTTGATTACGTCCTCAAAACAACTACCTTAATACCTATTTATATTTTTAAAGTATGTATAATTAATCAAATTTCAATAATTAATCGTTTTGCAGAGTTTTTCTTCTTGTACCCATATTCTAAAATATGAAAGAAACATTCTATAACTCCTAAATTTGCGTTCGTTTCGTAAAGGTAAGCATAACTACATGGTAAATCAGTTATCGTAAAAGCTTTCACTGTGTAAAAAAGGTAACTGATATATTTACTTTTCGCCGTTCGTGATTGGGTTTGACTTGACAAACAGCATTAGTAGTCATTACTGGTAACAAAAGGACTGATAATAAGTGTCATTATATAATCAATATAACCACGAGGTGAGAATATCTCACGTAACTATTTGTAAACAAAGAGTAAATCCATCTTCAGCAAGAGGTTTGGAGAAAGAATCGACCATAAGTACGTTTGGTTTGGTTTTATTTTGTTTAACGTTTTATTAACAGCTACATGATGTAATGTCATTTAAGGACGTGGCTCCATGTAAATTGTGTATACATGCGTATGTGTCGGAGGCAGGGTATATTGGTGTATTTAACTCCTTGTGATATCGCAGATATGATACCGAATCAACTCCAAACTGATCATAAGATAAAATGCATGTTATCTTATGGGGGACTAATGTGTGGACCTTTTTGCAGAATCGTTTGTATTTTTTTCGTGTCTTTTGCTAAAGGGACAAAGCAGAAACTACAATTGATCTACTGCCCCATAGCAAAACATGGGATCTATAGTATTGCCCCATAGCAAAACATGGGATCAATAGTATTGCCCCATAGCAAAACCTGGGATCTATAGTATTGCCCCATAGCAAAACATGGGATCAAAAGTATTGCCAAATAGCAAAACCTGGGATCTATAGTATTGCCCCATAGCAAAACACGGGATCTATAGTATTGCCCCATAGCAAAACATGGGATCTATAGTATTGCCCCAGAGCAAGACACGGGATCTATAGTATTGCCCCAGAGCAAGACACGGGATCTATAGTATTGTCCAATAGCAAAACATAGGATATATAGTATTGCCCCATAGCAAAACATGGGATCTATAGTATTGCCCCATAGCAAAACATGGGATCTATAGTATTGCCCCAGAGCAAAACATGGGATCTATAGTACTGCCCCAAAGCAAAACATGGGATCTATAGTATTGCCCCAGAGCAATACACGGGATCTATAGCATTGCCCCAGAGCAAGACACGGGATCTATAGTATTGCCCCATAGCAAAACACGGGATCTATAGTATTGCCCCATAGCAAAACATGGGATCAATAGTATTGCCCCATAGCAAAACACGGGATCAATAGTATTGCCCCATAGCAAAACACGGGATCTATAGTATTGCCCCTTAGCAAAACATGGGATCGATAGTATTGCCCCATAGCAAAACATGGGGTCTATAGAATTGCCCCATAGCAAAACATGGGATCTATAGTATTGCCCTAGAGCAAGACACGGGATCTATAGTATTGCCCCAGAGCAAGACACGGGATCTATAGTATTGTCCAATAGCAAAACATAGGATATATAGTATTGCCCCATAGCAAAACACGGGATCTATAGTATTGCCCCATAGCAAAACATGGGATCTATAGCATTGCTCAATAGCAAAACATGGGATATATAGTATTGCCCCATAGCAAAACACGGGATATATAGTATTGCCCCATAGCAAAACATGGGATCTATAGTATTGCTCCATAGCAAAACATGGGATCTATAGTATTGCTCCATAGCAAAATATTGGATCTATAGTATTGCCCCATAGCAAAACATGGGATATATAGTATTGCCCCATAGCAAACCAGGGGATCTATAGTATTGCCCCACAGCAAAACATGGGATCTATAGTATAGCTCCATAGCAAAATATTGGATCTATAGTATTGCCCCATAGCAAAACATGGGATCTATACTATTGCTCAATAGCAAAACATGAGATCTGTAGTATTGCCCCATAGCAAAACATGGGATCTATAGTATTGCCCCATAGCAAAACATGGAATCGATAGTATTGCCCCATAGCAAAACATGGGATCTATAGTATTGCCCCATAGCAAAACACGGGATCTATATTATTGCCCCTTAACAAGACATGGGATCGATAGTATTGCCCCATAGCAAAACACGGGATCTATAGTATTGCCCCATAGCAAAACATGGGATCTATAGTATTGCCCCATAACAAGACATAGGATCTATAGTATTGCCCCATAGCAAAACATGGGATCTATAGTATCGCCCCATAGCAAAACATGGGATCGATAGTATTGCCCCATAGCGATACATAGGATCTATAGTATTGCCCCATAGCAAAACATGGCATATATAGTATTGCCCCATAGCAAAACATGGGATATATAGTATTGCCCATAGCAAAACATGGGATCGATAGGATTGCCCCATAGCTAAAAAGGGGATCTATAGTATTGCCCCAAAGCAAAACATTGGATCTATAGTATTGCTCTATAGCAAAAAATGGGATCTGTGGTATTGCCCCATAGCAAAATATGGGATCTATAGTATTGCCCCATAGCAAAACATGGGATATATAGTATTGTTCCATAGCAAAACATGGGATCTATAGTATTGCTCCATAGCAAAATATGGGATCTATAGTATTGCCCCATAGCAAAACATGGGATCTATAGTATTGCCCCATAGCAAAACATGGGATCGATAGTATTGCCCCATAGCAAAACATGGGATATATAGTATTGTCCCATAGCAAAACATAGGATCTATAGTATTGCTCCATAGGAAAACATGGGATCTATAGTATTGCTCAATAGCAAAACATGAGATCTGTAGTATTGCCCCATAGCAAAACATGGGATCTATAATATTGCCCCATAGCAAAACATGGTATCTATAGTATTGCCCCATAACAAGACATGGGATCTATAGTACTGCCCCATAGCAAAACACGGGATCTATAGTACTGCCCCATAGCAAAACATGGGATCTATAGTATTGCCCCAGAGCAAAACACGGGATCTATAGTATTGTCCCATAGCAAAACATGGGATCTATAGTATTGCCCCATAGCAAAACACGGGATCTATAGTATTGCCCCATAGCCAAACACGGGATCTATAGTATTGCCCCATGGCAAAACATGGTATCTATAGTATTGCCCCATAGCAAAACATGGGATCTATAGTATTGCCCCATTGCAAAACATGGGATCTATAGTATTGCCCCATAGCAAAACATGGAATCTATAGTATTGCCCCATAGCAAAACCTGGGATCGATAGTATTGCCCCATAGCAAAACACGGGATCGATAGTATTGCCCCATAGCCAAACACGGGATCTATAGTATTGCCCCATAGCCATACATAGGATCTATAGTATTGCCCCATAGCAAAACATGGAATCTAAAGTATTGCCCCATAGCAAAACATGGGATCTAAAGTATTGCCCCATAGCAAAACATGGGATCTAAAGTATTGCCCCATAGCAAAACATGGGATCTAAAGTATTGCCCCATAGCAAAACATGGGATCTAAAGTATTGCCCCATAGCAAAACATGGGATCTAAAGTATTGCCCCATAGCAAAACATGGGATCTAAAGTATTGCCCCATAGCAAAACATGGGATCTAAAGTATTGCCCCATAGCAAAACATGGGATCTAAAGTATTGCCCCATAGCAAAACATGGGATCTAAAGTATTGCCCCATAGCAAAACATGGGATCTAAAGTATTGCCCCATAGCAAAACATGGGATCTAAAGTATTGCCCCATAGCAAAACATGGGATCTAAAGTATTGCCCCATAGCAAAACCTAGGATCTATCGTTTTTCTTTTCTGACTCATCTATTCTTCCTGTTCTTTGTTGTCTCCATAGGAACACGTCATGAACATAAACTCCATGTAATCAAACCATACAAATACAGTGAGATTTTTATTATAGTAACTGAGAAGTTATCTCCTTTTAATGATGCTGAAGATCAACTCCCAGTCAGCTGTTAATAGGACGTTAAACAAAATAAAACCAAACCAAACTAAAACAACACAACAACAATTTGAATATGACCGGATGATGGAATGGCGTGCTATTTCAGTAGGATTGCAAATACTCCAACAAACCGCCTCCAGAACTAATAAACGCATACATTATACAAATCGGGGCACATCCTTACATTGCCTTAACTGTTAATAGGACGTCAAACCCTTTAAAACCAAACCTGTACGTGTTTACAGCTTTAACGAGCACAATAATATCCAAACAAACACAGGTCATAAAACTTAAATTAATAAAGTTAAACACCGAGGAAAGTATCACAATATTAACTTCAATTGTTTTTCAGCTAAATATTGATGACTCACCTGAATGTTTACAAGACAGCAGGCTGCCATCAGGGCGACTAAAATCGTCGAAGATCCAGAGAGCCAGAAAATGTGACTGACAAGCTGTCCCGGATCTGTCCGAACTACCTCGTACCAACACATGTTGTATATCAGGATGAGAGTGATGAAGATGTGTACGACAAGACACAGACCGATCTGATGTTTTAAAACGTCATCTGCAGCATCTAACATATTACAGAGAGCGGTATGCTGCTTCCTCAAATCTTCGATGTTTTCCTGAACCTCTGAGATAGACTTGTTTTGTGTTATTTTCTCCATTCTTTGAACGAATTGTTTAAATTCGTAATACAAGGATAAAGCTAACACGATAATCAGAACGGAAGTGAATGCCCATGCGCAGGAAAGATATAGAATAATGACATGATATATCCCTGCTACTACCGGAAATAGTTTATGTGACCTAGGAAACGGTTCAAGCATATTTTCAAAAGCAGTTGCGGTTATGAGGGCGTAGCTGCAAAACCCAGCATTCCCGATCGCAACACTCCATCCAATCAGTGTACAGACTGAAGTGTATTTACGTATTTGCCGCAAAGAACATGATTGCTCGACACTACAATCAATCTGCACGCATTTTACCAAATCCCAATACTTCTTCCAAAGGTTAAAGAAGGAGACCAGTTTCGTAGGATGTTTTACCATCTTGAAGCATGTTATTGCATAACTAAGACATAGAAGCAGCCATGCATGTAACAGAATGGAGGACAGCAGTTTAGGCCCGAATTCAAACGATCCATATGCCAAGAAAAACCTGACAAAATTGACAAATAGGATACAAATAATAGTTATTTGATAAAATTTGAAAAATCTTCTTCTATTTCCTGTTTTCCCTTCCTCATATTCAAGAATTTTCCAAAAGTCGAACAATCCCATCAGTGACATTGAAATAAGCAATGGACGTAGGGCTGATAACAGGCCTCTCGATCGTTTTACATCGTCTGGAGTTATCTTTTCAGTGGCGGTACTTGATTGCCATGGTAGTTTGGAGGTTTCCATAGAATCCATGATTCCTACACTCGCTACTGTTATCTTTGTCTTTGGCATGGCGATTTTTTATTCAGGATGTTGTCAACAACTATGATGACTTAATTAGTACGCCCAACGTATACGACAATATAAGTCACGATGTTGTGTATCTATCCATGTTACCTGTTTTGAAAACTATTGTTTTTGTCGTTAAAGTATTCCAAATGTTTAAATCGGTATAAGTTAAAGCACAAAATCAAATCTGAAGCCAGAAGCAGAAACATAAATTCCTGCTTAATTTTTAACTCGTGATAACGGTGAATATTCTTTTCACAAACGAAACCTCCGTCTATATTTCACCGTACAGCAACATAATGTTATTGTTTTGTGTTTACATTCTACTTAAAATATTCCGATATTAAAACACAAAATCCAGCGATGTTTAATTCCAAAGGTTGAAATACAGGATACATTCAGGGTGGAATCTTATGCTTCTCAATCTTCCTGTGATCCGTTGAACGAGGATTGTACGTTTGTCGATATGATAGAAAAAAATATGTTCGACAGTCACTGATGCTTTATGATCGATACTCACAGCCAAAACACGACGGTTATAAACAAGGGAAGAAAACTCAGCACAAATCACGAACAGTCTCTTTCCAATTAAACCGAAGCATAATGTTCGCAATCAGTGGTAGACAACTCAGAATCGATCTTTAGCAGTCTTTTTCCTGTTCATCCGAAACATGACGGTGATTTTTAGGGGAAGACAACTCAACACGAATCACTCACTAACAGTTTATTTCCTATTCATCAGAACTATGACGGTGCTTGACAACATAGTAAATAACTCACTAATAGGTTATTTCCTCTTCATCCGAAACATGGCGGCGATTGTCAGGGGTAGACAAAATCAGCAAGACTCTCTAACAATCCATTTCCTGTTTTTTAAAAAAAACACCACAATTTTCGTCAAAGGCAGGGATTCAGCAGGAGTCACGGACGTTTTTCTTAAACAACAATAAACACAGCATGGCAGTACTGGTCTATACTAGTTCACTCATTAGTAACTCTCGAAACACTGTAGATAGGTATTCCAAGCCTGTATATATTTAAGGACATCTGACCATGCGATCGAGCTTACAATTACAAAGTTTTGTCTGGCTATCTAACTATGACTACATCTCCTATATCTGAGCTCGCTGTGACGTACACATATAATTAGTCTTAAACAAACATCATTAATTGATTGAGGAAAGTCCGATGAAATATTACTTGTCCTCGCCGGTATTAATTACTGCTAACAACCTTTTTGTCGACTTGGATTGATCAGAGTATATGTTTGCATTCGAAACTCCCGAGGATCACAACAAAGGAAAAGCAATTACATATTTCTATACAATCAATATTTTCAATAATTTAATTGATCCTATATTTACATTGCATTGTCACTATATAGCCTCTTTGAAAGCTGTGGGACTTTAATAACCATGCATCTCAAATATAAATAAACATGACGGCTGCTGAAATATCGCTGGGCGTTGTGAGAACCTTGACTATGTCATTGTAAATTTATGTGCAAAATTAAATTAAATAAAAGAAGACCAAGGTCTGCAATATTGTACAAAATGGACATCGGACATGATCGGTTGAAATCACCAATGTCGGCAATGGAAACAATTTAAACGCTCATGCAATTTATCAGAAATATCGTCTATTACACTCCACTGATCAACAGGGGTTCGTTACAAATGTCTGAAAAAAACATATTCTATAGACCTACTGACACATATGTTACAGACCTACTGAAATGAGTCACAGCACACATAAACATTTCAGACATTTGTAACGAACCTGTGCTCCATCGCAAGATCACTCACTTCAAATGCTATCAGTTTCACGCGTCTCGCATCCACGGTTTCTCAGTTTCTGTCGACATGTCAAATAACGAGGCTGTTATAGAATCTACCGACTGTTGTCAGGTTCCCATGCAATCAACAAATAAATTCACGCCTGGATTCTTCACAAAATGAGCCAAGAGAAAAATTCGAATTAACTTCCAAAAATAACTCCCTCGTTGAGGGCAAGGTCGGATTTACGGTGTTCACTGTATTGGTCCAAAATTTGCGCGAAATTTGTTCCATTGGAAATTCGAAACAATTTCATATCTAACTTTTAGGTCGGAGTTTTATTTAAAAACTTAAATCCTCCTATAGACAACCATACGCAAATGTATTGATACTGAATTGTGGCATAAAATTGAAGTGTTTGTTAAAATTTCAAAGTACTATTTTGTTTGCCTAGCAGCACGCGACAATACGTTGTTCAAACTATTGAACGAAATTTTGTTGACTGTCGATAAGGCGGGGAATTTGAATTCTAAATATAAATTATAAGTTAAAAAAGAACATAAGAGGCAGAGAAAACGTAAATATAAGTATTGAACTGTTTTTGTATGGTATTTATAATCCATTTGAATGACACAGCTTTGCAAGCAAACATAATGCGCTAGCAAAGCTGTGTCATTCAAATAGATCATAAATACCATACAAAAACAGTTCAATGCTTAACTATATACACTAACTCATCTTATTAGCTCACCGCTTTAATTCAAATTTAAATGATTTCTCTCTTAATCATTTCTAACTGATTCGTTTCGCTATGCTTTGATTGACACTACTGGGGTATTGACGTATTGACGCGTTAGTAAATAGAACTTTCAAAGTTCACGTTTGATATTCGTTAAATTAAATAACTCTAATTTACAACAATTTGTCATGGTGCCTAGCTTGGCATTTGTTTGTGTACCAAGGCCGGGACATACCCCAAGTCCTTAAAAATGGTCGTTGTTATTCCCTGCTTAATTTTCAGCATTTAGGGGAATCGCAACAACTGGTTCACCCGTTGTCAGTATAATGTGACCGGGCGGAACGCTGTGGTGTTTGTTTTAGGCATACATCGAGAAAGCCATCTAAAGTCGGCATCTGATCAGCACTATTACAAAATTTAGCTTGCTTTGCTTTCATTTCTATCATCATGTTAACAGCTGATACCATTTATAGACGTGCCTCCATATCTGTAATGCATGTGTGTTTGAGGCGCTATGTTTATACATTTGCCACTTTGTGACCTTTCGTCGTAGACAAAATGATATTCGTCATTCAAAAACTAAATAATTCTTTTACATGTCATTTAATTGCAAATGTGTGATGATACCTATTTTTAAACTATATATAAATCAATATAGACGGAAATAACTTTGGCATTTTAATGGGTGTCGTTAATAAAAAAAAAAAAGGAATTCTGAAGAAAAAGAGCAAAAAGGACATTAAAAATGTGGAGGCACGGTGGTCTAGTGGTAAGACCCAGGGCTCGTGCCGAAGGGTTGCAGGTTCGAGTCACGTTACGGCACTGTGTTGTATCTTTGAGCAAGATACTTTACCCCGTTTGTTCCAGTCTTCTTAGCTGTAAATGAGTACGTGTTTGGGTAATGCTAGAATTGTTGGCGAAATATGAGGTGCCGGAAGACATTAATACGAGTTTTTCCTGTATATCACAACATAAAATCACAATTATTGCCAATCCTGTGTGATAACATCCTTCTGCCACCTAATGTTGACGCGATAGCTACATGTTTGACCAATAAACATTAACGGTTTATTATGGTCCTCGACAGTCCCTGTCTCTTGGGGTTTACTCCTAGCCTTAAACCCCTCAGGTCTCATATACCAATGTCAATTTAGCATAATGAGTCCCACTAAATTGTATACCATTCAATATCTGTTTACAAGAACATTGGGTCAATGAATGTGTTCTGTACTTGTTAAGAGTCAACAGAGACGCCACCCGAGAGCCGACAACAGAACACAAATGGAACTTGAATCGATCGGAAAAGACAACAGAAAGATATTTGTGACGTCAGCAAAAATGGAAAAGAACATAAAAATAGCCGACAATGATTTTACCTATATAGCTTCAGTTTCGATATATTCTTATTCCTCGATGTCTATTTCTACATTGGTTTTTTTCTTAAATGACTTAGTTATCAATGGTCCGTAAACAATAAGGTGGAGAAGTTAGAAATAAGGCCACAATAACGCCATAGAACATTACGAAAACTTGTATGGTTAAATGTTACATATTTATCATAGCGTCAACATACAAAGACAAATCGATGTAGCTTATTA